GTTCTCTCATTTGTAAAATGAATGGGTGGAACTAGATGGCTTTTAAGTCTCCTTCTGGGGCTGCTAGGTGGCTCGGTGGCTAGAGTGTTTGCTCTCCTCTTCCTCCTGATGCTGACCCCACCACAACTGATACTTCTAGCACAGAGAGAAAATGGAATTCTGGAATAGAGGGTGCCAAAGCCACAAAGCATTACATGATAGCAGAGCCTGGAAGGGAAGATGTGGCAACAGGACCCCGATGCAGCTGTGACCAAGGAAATGGGCGAAGGCTCCAACATGAAGCCAAAATACAAGGACCTCAATTATCATCTTTGAGGTTAGATCAGGGCAACTCCCCTTATTGAGTAATAATCTTGCTGTCCTTCCAAGTCTGGCCAAAGGGTCCTCAGTGACAACCCTAGTGTCACCTGGGGTAGAACCTTCAAGGAGAAGGCTATGTTCTTCCACCTTGGGGCAGAATATATTTTATGTGACCTCTATTACTTAATGGCCTCCAAGATGGTGAGAATGCCTTTCTGTTCTAAGAAGGGTTAGGTTGTCTGTTCCCTTCCAGAGTAGAACTGGGCTCAACTCTTGTCAAGAAACAAGCAACAAAACAGATTTGACTTCTCAAAAATTCTTCAAAGGGCCCAGAACCCAAGTCTTGGATTCTCCTGAAAGATCAGCAGATTTTTCCTGGTTGCAAAGGACTTTGGAGCTCTCTGAGGGACACACCTGTTTAATGCTCTAGCCAGAGATTTCTCCCCCAGCCCTCTGCCACAAGTGAAAGTAAGGAAAGAGCCCAGGGAATCTTGGCAGCATTGTTGGGGTGGCCACGGGGCACCTGGCAGCCTGAGGACAGTGGAAGCAGCCAGCCCACCCACATGAAGCACACCATTATATTTTAGTGAGAAACTGTCCCAGAGGATGTTATTTTGACTATTAAAAACCTGATATTCAGTTGCCTGGGTAACATGATGTTAAATGATGTTCTGATGAAGCAAAATTAGAATCAAAGGATCCTAGATGTGGAACTGAAAGTCCAACGCTGTCATTTTACAGATGAGCAAACTGAGGCCCAGAGAAATCCAGTGACTTGCCCAAGGCTTGGTTTGTTATTGTTGTTTAGTTGTGTCCGACTCTTCGTGACCCCATTTGGGGTTTCTTGGCAAAGATACTGGAGTTATTTCCTTCTCCAGCTCATTTTGCAGATGAGGAAACTGAGGCAAACACAGTGAAGTAACTTACCGAGGATCACATAGCTAGTAAGTGTATGAGGCCAGATTTGAACTCAAGAAGAGGAATCTTCCTGACTTCAGGCCTGGCATTCTATCCACCGTACCACCTAGCTGCCCCTTGCCAAGGTTACACGTGTACTAATTGAAAAATGCCCAAGTTCAGCTGAGGTTCTTTGAGTCCAAAGCCAGTATTCTTTTCCAACCAATAAGCACTCCATTATTCCCAGCCTTTTTCATTATGTTGATTGGTTTTGCTGGATTTTTTCCTCTTTTTAAAATTCTTTCTTATGAGGGATGGCTTTCTGGGAAAGGAAGGGAAGGGAATACTATAGGTGGAAATGTAGATGATGTAAAGGCAGAAGGTAGAAAAATCTATTTTTAAAAGAAAAAATAATAGCTGACATTTACATAGAGCTTTACCATTTGCAAAGTACGTACATTGTTATTTTATTCAATCCTCGAAGCCACCCCACTAGGTAGATGCTGTTATTATCCCCAGTTAACAGATGGGTAGCCCAGTAGTGACTTGCCTTAGGCCGCACAGCTGCTATGTATATGGAGTACTGCTTGGGAAGACTGCCGGCCTTGCTGATCTAGGCAAGGCACTTCCTTGTCTGTACCACGAGAGGCCTGGGCTGGATGGCCTCTCAGGGACCTCAGAGGTTGTTGAGTGCAACTGCGTCATTTTACAGATGAGCAAATTGAGGCTGAAATAGGTGCCCAGGCTCATCCAGCAGGATCTGAACTTGGGTCTTCCTGATAGCCTTTTCACTACATCCCCATCCCCCTCTGTGGCATACCTAACAAGACTCAATTGGTAACCTTGCTATTAATCGTTGAAAGTGAGTTGAAGTGTTATTTTTTTTTTAAGCTTAGCCATGCTGGTCAGCTTTCCTAAGCCTGAATGGCATGGTTGGCAAAGATAGATAGTCCTCATTCTCTTGCCAGTGATTGTTTTCTTGTACAAAGAGCACAGCAAACACCATTTATGCTTATCGCCTTGGGAAAACTCAGTAACTCTCAAGATCTCAGGCTCTTAAGAGGTGATTGGTGTGATGGAAAGAGTTCATAAAACATTTTATTGATACTTTTTAAAAAATTGTCATTCCCCAAGAACACTCTCCTTATCATAATAGAATACCCCTCAATTTCCCCATTAGAGTCCTCCTTTGTAACTTGGCTTAAGCAAAATAAATCAACCCAAATAAACAAGTATCAGAGAAAGAAGAGGAAAAGCATTTCTATAACACCTACTATGTGCTAAGCATTTTACAAATATCTCATTTAATACAACCTTGGGAGGTAGGGACTATTATTATCCCCATTTTAGAGTTGGGAAAAGTGAAGCAGACAGAGGTTAAATGATTTGTCAAGGGTCACACTGAGGCAGCATTTGAACCAAGGACATACCTGACTCTAAGCCCACTGCTCTAACTACCATATCACTCTGTCTCTAAATAAACGTAACTAATTATGAGACATGTGAATACATGACAAGTACAAAAAGGCACTTTTGTCAGAGGGGAACAGGATAAAATGTCACATGAGATCCCAAGTCAGGAAAGATTCCAACTGAAGGAATGAAAGAGGATTGTGTAGGGGAAGATGGTGCCTGAGCCAGGCTTTGGAGACGGGAGTGGGGAGAATCTTACCCTTTTGATGTGTCATGGCCCCCCCCCCTTACAGTCTGGTGAAGCCTAGGCACCCCTTCCCAGAATCATGTTTTAAAATAATTAAAATTTCAATAATATAAAAAATATTCAATATTTTTCAAATTTCAATAATATAAAAATATTTTAAAAATAAATTTCAGTTACAGATTAGTGAAAATAAAGATGCTACTCTTTCTCATCCAAGTTCACAGCTCCCCTGAAACCTATCCATGGACACCTTGGGGCTCTGTGGACCCCCTAGTTAAGAATCCCTCCTTTAGAGGATAAGAGAAGGAAAAAATGAGTACTGTCTACAAAAAGAAAATCAGAAGGCACCAAACATGATGATAGAATGAAAGTCCCTGTCACATGAAGCTCTCCTGACTACCCCCTAGGTGATAGTACCCTTCCTCCACAAACTATTTAAGTTCTGCCATTAGAGAGTAAGCTCCATGAGGGCAGGAACTGTTTCTCTCTTTCTTATATCTAGTGCTTAGCACTGTAGCTGTCAATCAATAATGTTTTGTTAAAGGCTTGATATTTATTCTGTGTATATTTCAATATGTCCCTTTTGTCTCCTTCCAATAGAATGTAAGCTCCATGAGGGCAGGAACTGTTTCATTTCTGTTTTTGTATCCCCAGCACCTAGCCAGGTGTCTGGTGCATAGTTAATGCTTAATAAATGATCCTTGATAGCTTGAATATTTATATCCCCAGTCACTGCCTAGCACACAGTAGGATAGTGTAGACATTGGACCAGTGAGTTCAGTGATATAGGGAAATCCTGGATGAGAACACTCCTTCTACCAGTGCAGATTAGGACCTTCTGTTAACAAGTTATGAGAACAGACCCCAAAATCTGAAATCGTTTTAAAAAGAAATTGATTTGGTCATTTGGTAGAAGAGGAAAGCAGGAAGAAGGCTCCTTCCTCAGTCTCTGAAAGGTTTACATTATATAGGGTTTCCTAGGATTCCTGCACGAATACGTACACATAGCGGTGAAGCTGTTGTGTGGAGAGGGCAGTTCCCAGGCAAGGTTCAGGGAGTATCTATCAGTGAGCATGAACATTCAAATGAAGGGTGACTGAGATGTAAGCTTGAGCATTTTCAGTTCGAGAAACCCTAAACACAAGCATTGGGTTGACCCCAGATCTAGGTGGCATTCAGGCATTCTCTGCAGCAGAATATCCAGCTGGTCTCTGAGGTCAGCCAGTTTCTAGCCACATCAAGCTAGGTTCAGACAATTTTTATAAATAAGGCTTTCGGAACAATGTGATCAATTTTTCCGTACACTTCACTGCAATGCATAGTTTTAGAGAGTTTTCTAAAACACTGAAAGATTTACCAGTCATTCAGCTAATTTGTGTCAGAGATGAGATTCAAACTCAAGTCTTCTCAGCTCTGAAGCCTCTTCTCTGGCTTCCTCCCCAGGCATATATACTTGTTACTAATTGATGAAACAGAAATGAAAAAGAAAAACATAAAAGACTGTGAAAAGATCATGTACATATATACTACTGCACCCCCTGCCAAGGCAAACAAAAAACATACATACTCTTTGTACAGAGAAAAACAGTTAAGCTAGAACAAATATTACAGTGACTGCCTGAAAATGCATTGTACCATTTATTTCCCTTGCCCTCTGTCCCCTTTCCTGCTGCCTAGAGAAGAATATGTTCTATTATATTTTCCTCAGGACTATTATTGAAGGCCCCTTCCCCCAATTTTTTCAGATGAGGAAACCGAGATCCAGAGAAAGGACTTACCTAAGGTTGCATGGTGCCTTTGAACCTTGGTCTTTTGTCTCCATATCCTGCACCCTCTCCCTTGTTCGACACTGACTCTCGAGTCTATATATCACAGAGCCAAACCCCAGCGGGGTCCTGCCTTCTTCCATGTCCCTTTAGGACTGTTGGAGCCTCTGAAGCTGAGCAGGGGAGATACAGTGGAATCCTGTAAAAAACTCTTCAGATGCTTCTTTGTAAAAATGAAAAAATGCACTCATTTAACCTTCATTACTGCCTGATTTCTAACTGATCTTGGGACTTCTTTCCTCTTCCCCTTTGTATATTTAGGGTTTTTCCCCCAACATGTAGTTTTAAAGATTTTTTTCCCTCTTCAACTTTTACAGGTGAAAGTAAGCCTTAAAAAGACAAGATGGATCTTCACGTGCTGAACATGTTCGTCATAGCTGGAGGGACTTTGGCCATCCCCATCCTAGCCTTCGTGGCTTCATTTCTCCTGTGGCCCTCAGCGCTGATCAGAATCTACTATTGGTAAGAAAACTAGGTTTGTAATTGACATTTCAAAAGGGAACATAGAACTACTCTTGGACCTGCTGGTCCAGCATGATGCCTGATATTCAACAAGTGCTAAATAAATACTTCTGGGTAACTAATCCTTTTGAATTTATTCTATTCTCAAAGTATTGTTGGAAAGTGTAGTGAAAATTCTTATAGGACTGCTCTCCAAAGTTGCTAATTGCCTTTTATTTTTCCCACGAGACCATCCACACCTCCAAATTCATATACTCTTTTTGTTTCTACCAAGAAAAGAGTCCTTTTCTTTGAAGGGCAAAATATTTCCCTTTTGGTCTGGATCTGTGATTTTATCAGGGTGGGGAAATCCTGTAGTGGGAAGAGTTGCCTGGCAGAATCTAGAGATTAAGTAAAGTATTTAGCCATGATGAAACAGCTGAGATGTGTCCAAGCAAGACTTGAATAATAATAACTATTATTTTAATAATTATAGTAATATTTATATGGCCGTTTGAGGTTTGTAAAGCACATTACAGATATAATCTCATTTGAACCTCACAACAACCTTTAGAGGTGAATGCTATTTTTATCTCCACTTTATCCATGAGGAAACTGAGGCTGAGGAGCAGTGCCTGGGGTCATGCAGTTACTAAGAATCAAAGGTTGGCTTTTAACTTAGGTCTTTCTGATTCCAAGTTGAGCTCTCATCAAGTAGTCAATCAGTAAACATTTATTAAGCACCTCCTATGCTAAATGCTGGGTTAAGTGGATGTTAAGTCTTGGACAAAGATCATCTTGAGTTCAGGCAGTCAAGTCTGACGCTCTCTTTAAAATTAAAATAAAATAACTGCGCTTCATTGGGGCCTTTTGGTTTTACATCAGAGTTATTTCTGACTATACACCACCCACCTCAGCACCCAGAATTGACTTCTCCTTCATAATAAGGAAAAACAGTTAAGCAGAGAGATTCTTTTCCTTTGAAATTTATAAATAAATTGCATTCTTGGACATTGAATGTCAACACAGTTGCTGTGTTGACATTCAGTGTCCAAGAATGTAATTTATTCATATATTTCAAAGGAGAAGAATCCAATTAAGCTGTCCCAGGTGGTATTTAAGAGAGAGAACATTTTTTTTAGGTTTATGCCGAAATTGTTCACTCACATAAGGATGACTATCGCTTGGCTAAACCTTTCAGTTTTCCACAGTCAAGTGAAGAGAGGTTTTCTAGAGAATTAAGGAATTGAGAAATACTGCCACTGGGGATGAAGTGAAGCCTGGGAAGATCACATCTGGGCCCTTTCAGCTTCCTTCTTTACTGGCTTTTTCTCATTTAAATGGCATGGAAGGTTCTGATCTTTGAAAAGAAGTTAGTGGGATGGAGGAGCGTTTTGTGGGATGGAGGAGTGTTTTTCATGCCCTTTCAGTCCAGGGTTGACTGTAGAGATGGATGGGGCTCCACCTCCTTGGAAACTGAGACTGCCAAGCAGTAGTCAGAATCCTAGCCCAGGGGACATGCCTCACTGATTTTCAGGGGGAAGAGGCTTTTTGTTTGTTTCCCACCATGGGGCTGTTGAATGGAAAAACCCATTAAGGTCAGTTCATTCCAGCTCAAAGACACCATAGAATGGAATCTCTGTTCTTTGATGCAGCTAACAATAGGGAAGCAGGTGATTCTCAGAGTCCCTGTGGCCCTGATGAACCTTCCTGGTGGGCTGACCAGTTGTTGTAAGCACAGATACGTTGGGCCTACCCATTCATGATGCATAAAGCAATCAAGGGGAGGAACTGTGTTCATGGTAAGGGTCAAGAGCCAGGGAAGCTTTTCGGATCACAGCAGGTAGGATTATCATTTAGGAGACCAGTATGTGAGTCCAAGAATATGGACTCAAAGATGCAGCATTGCATAGAGAGCTGGATTGGGACCTGGGTGCCAGTCCCAACTCTGTCATTTGGGTAGCTCAGCCTTTCTGGGCCTCAGTTTCCTCATCTGTAAAACGAAGGGGTTGGACTAGATTGGTGATTCTTAAACTTTTTCCACTCACAACCCCTTTTTGCCAGAGAAATTCTTAAGTGTCCCTGGGTATATAGGTACATGAAATAGTATACAAATCAAACATTTACTGATAATAAATCTTAACGAAATTTATTTAAAAACAATTCTTTGGTATACATAGAATTTTACCATTTATTAAAGACAATCGTCTTGAATCTGAGCTGAGGGGTTTCTGGCCGTGTTTGTTGGTGTTCATGGTGTGACTGCATGCGAAGTGCAAAGTGCGCATGTTGTGTGTTCAGAACCAAGCCTGCGGTGAAGTCATGCCATGCAACACGGGCAATCGCTGCCTGAAAATGAGTTTGATTTTGAATTAATTTTTGGTCATTGTGTGTTCAGAAACCTTTTACTGTTGACAAATTTTTTGCCACCCCATATAGGGTCGAAACCCATAGTTTAAGAAGCGCTGGGCTAGATGGTCTTTAAGGACCCTGCCAACTCTAAGCCTGTGATCTTATATGAAATCAAGTAAGGGCAGCAGAGAACTTATGATTCCATTGGAAAAAAGAGTAGCAAGAAGATCCTACAAGGCAGTAACAACATGGCAGGACCCCGTCCCCTGAACATAGAACTGCCATTTTTAACTCAGGTCTACAACTGAATTCATTACCCTCTCGCCCACCTCCAATCCTTCCCTTTTCCTAACTTCCCTATTATTGTTGAGGATACCATCACCCTCCCAGTCACCCAGGCTCAAATCCAAGGTCTCATGCTTGACTCCTCACTTTCTCTCATCTCCCATTTCCATTCAGATACCAAACCCTATGTATCTGACCTTTGTAATATGTCTTATAGACTCCCCCTTCTCTCCTCTGGCACTGCAACTACCTGGGTCAGGCCCTCATCACCTCCCACCTGGGTCCTCTCCAGTCTATTCTCCACTCATCCTGCTGTCAGATTGATCTTCCTAAAGAACAGATCGGACTAGATCTCTCTCTCTCTCTGTCTCTGTCTCTCGGTGTCTCTCAACACCCCCCACCCCCAACACCCATTCAATAAACCTCAGTGTCTCCAAGATAAAGTATAAAATCCTCTGGCTTTTTAAGGCCTTCAAACCTTGTCCCTTCTTACCTCTCCAGTCGTCTTACACCTTCTTCCCATCCACGTATGCTGCCTCTGCAACTCAGTAACACTGGTCACCTTGCTATTCTTTTTTTTTTTTTTTTTTGGTGAGGCAATCAGGGTTAAGTGACTTGCCCAGGGTCACACAGCTAGTAAGTGTTACCTTGCTCTTCCTCACCCAGATACTCCATCTCCCAGTTCTGGGCATTTTCTCTTGTTGTCTGCCATGCCCGGAACGCTTTGCTCTCCTCATCTCTGCCTCTCAGCTTCCCTGTTCCTTCAATTCCCAGCTAAAGCCTAGAAGCCTTTGTCAGCCTTCCTGAATCTTAGTGCTTTCCCTTTGAGACTACCCTCCAGTTTATCCTGCCTGTATCTTGTTTGTACGTATCCGTTTTCATGTGTTTCCTCCTTTAGGCTGTGAGCTTCTTGAGAGCAGGGACTGTTGTTTGCCCTTAGGTATTTCCCAACTACTTAGTACAGTGCCTGGCACTTTGTTGTTGCTCTTTGTTCAGTTGTGGCCAACTCTTTGTGACCCAATGGACCATAGCACACCAGCCCCTTCTATCCTCCACCATCTCCCAAAGTCTGTTCAAGGTCACATTCATTGTTTCCATGATACTATCTATCCCTCTCTTCCTCTCCCATCCTTTTTCCTTTGGCTTTCTATCTTTCCCAATATCAGGATCTTTTCCAATGAGTCTCATCTTCTTATTATGTTGCCAAAGTATTTAAGCTTCAGCATCAATATTTATCCTTCCAGTGAATAGCCTGAATTAATTACTTTAAGTACTGACTGATTTGATCTCCTTGCCATGCAAGGGATTCTCAAGAGTCTTATCCAGCACCAGTATTACTTATTTGTGTCCACAGGAATCACCAGTCTGAGTATGTCTTTGGTGGAAAACCCCTGCTGGTATTAAGTTAGTGGCTCATGATACCCATTGATGTATCTGACAACCCCACTTACTCAGTTGGGTCAGTCTCATTTCAAGATAGAGGCATTTTGGGGAACTTGCTTTTTATGTGTTCTACTCATGCTGAAAGTGTGATTGTTCAATGATAAACTTATCTGAAGGAAGTGGAGGTGCTTTCCTACCTACCGTTCTGTGGAAGAAGTAGGAAGGGGGCTTTCCAATTCAGCATCCATCAGCAGTCACTCAACAAGTGCCTACTATATGCATGTCAGTTATACTCTCAGGGTTCTAGACAACTCTAAGACTACATTGTAGAGAAGATGCCACCCAGCATTGTTAGAAGAGGTTTCTTCATCAGGAATTCCATATACCCATGAGATCACAGGTCCAGTCTCTTTCCCCTTTTTGCCCCTTTCCCACTAATGTGCCAGACACTGCTAAATGCTAGGGATACAAATACCAAAGTATTTGGAAGGAAGGATTTAATGGGACTTGCTCTGGTGCTGCTCTCAAAGCATCTGTCCATGGTTCTGAGCATCCTTGAAATGTATCCAACCCATTTTCATCAAGATGTTGGTGAGCAAGGCTGATGCTGAAGGTTTCTATATTAGACTACAGGGAGTGATCTCTTAGGTAGTTCACTCTTTTATGGCAAATGAAGGAAATGGAGAGCTGATTTTTATTGAGCTGAAGGAGTAGAATATAGACTATATAGCAATATGTTGACAATTCTCAAATTTTTTAAGTTGTTTCAGTCATTTCTGACTCTTTGTGACCCTATTTTTGAGTTTTCTTGTCAAAGATACTGGAGTGGCTTGCCATTTCCTTTTCCAGCTCATTTTACAGATAAGGAGACTGAGGCAAACAGGGTTAAGTGACTTGCCCAGGATCACACAACTTGTAAGTGTCTGAGGCTGGATTTGGACTCATGAAGATGAGCCTCCTAGATTCCAAACCCAGTGCTCTATCCACTGTACCACCTAGCT